CTCCTCTCCCCGCCCAGCGCGATATACCTTTCTGATCATCCAGGCTGTCTTAGGCTGGAAATTCATTTCACTCTGTCTTTTTGTGGGTTCTGATGCTTTAAAATTTGTTTAGAATCATTTTTTTAGGTATTTGGAGGGCTTTGGGAAAGAGCTCAAGACAGTCACTGCTTTCCCTCCGCCATCTTAGCTCCACATCCGAAAAATATGCATCTTTCTCTTGGGGGCAAGAAAAGTGACAGCAATACTGGCCTTTATGAAATACATTGGGGAAAACCCTAGGATTTTACATTTAAAAACAGTTCTGAAAACCACATTCAGTGTAGGATGGGTTTTGCTAATAGTGGTTTGGGTATGACTAAAGGAATCTTTCCTTATAAATTTCTAAAAAGGTAACTCCCTAAAAAGAATTGGTTTCCATAACTCAATATCCTTACCTACCACAATTTATGTAAAAAAAAAATTGTCTGAGGAATTACTTTTAAGCCCTATGGAGGAGTTTAAAAATGTTGTGGGGATGAACTTCAAGCTTGACTCCACTCTCAATTATTTGAACAAAGCCACCCCTCAGTTAGTTGGTTTACCCAACTTTGCCTAGATACTGAAAGATAGCTAGAGGAATTGTAGACTGAAGCTTTTTAAAATTCCTTTAGTGATGATGTCACACTAGTGTGAGGGCAGCAACAAATTATGAGTGCAGAGCAATGACTGGAGGCCATGAAAGCAAATGCAAGGCTTGAGGAATTTGGTGGGTCTCAGGAGACAGAGCCAAGTAGGTCAATGGAGATAAGGGTAAGCAGTGGGATAGAACCTTAGGAGACAGACTGGAATCAGTATGATACATGTGTCTAAGGGCAAGGTAAAGTGGGAGGCCTAAAGTCCAGGTGAACCGTCACAATACAGGAAATGTACAGAAGTTGAAGTGGCCAGGCAGGGAGATCAAAGCAGTTTACGAGAACAAATGCAAGTCAGTAGTCAAAGACCTTGAGCACTAAGGTAACTTCTGCCTCAGGCTTCAAATTTTTATAAAATGGTTCCCCGTGTGACCAATCTATGGTAACCAAGGAATTGGGACTACCTGGTTGAGGCAGAAGACATCTAAAAAGATAAAAGCATCCATTTCTGGCAGACAGAATCTAATAGATTGTCATCATACCAACACAATTCTAGGTAAACAAACCTTCCCTTGGCATTTGAAAGATTTCCCTTGTTTTATAAAGGGCAGGATTTGGCCGGGTGATTGTCTATTGTGATGCTAATCTACCCATTGGCACTCACTCCATAAGTATTATGCAGAATGATAACTGCTGCATTTCACAGGACTCCCAAATGACTCCTATATTATTAAGTTTACAGATAATACTAAATTAGGATGGTACTAAAATCTTTTAAAATATGTTGAGAAACCGTTAAGACATACAATTACCTCTGATCATCACAATGACCAACCATGATTTCAGAGGATTCATGATGAAACATCCCACCTAATAGAGAGGTGATGGACTCAGAGAACAAATTAAGGCTTTGAAAAAAAAAAAACATGATTAATAAAGGAGTTTGTTTTCTGTCCTCAAGCCTTGCATATCACAGCTTCTCAGCTTAGTACCTCATACTTTGCTAAAAATTCAACTAGACTTCTTGCTTCTCCCCTCCTCTTCATCTGACATCATTCTAGTCTTCGATGAACAGGTGGCCCTTTTGCTTGCCAAGCCATCCTCTCTACACGAACCCTTGATTCCATCCTTTTCCATCGTTTCCAGCAGATTGTCCCCTCTATAATGTATATAAAGTAGTTAATCTTCATTTTCTCCTCGTCTACTGGTTCCTTCTCTGCCATATACAAACATGTCCAATTGCCTTCATCCTTAAAAAAAAGAAACAACAGCAACCAAAAAAACTATCTAGATTTTACTATGCCAGCTAGATATCATCATATATTTCTCCTCCTCTTCTGAGCAAAACTACTAAGGAAAAAATCATCTACACTCACTTTCTGTCCTCTCACTGTCTCTAAAACCCTTTGTAATCTGCCTTCAAACCTCATCACTGAACTAAAATTGTTCTTTCCAAAGTTTCCAGTTTCATTTAATTGCCAAATCTGATGGACTTTTCTTAGTCATTCTTATTGACTTCCCTGTAGCAATTAATACTGTTGACCTCCTTTTTCTCCTAGATAACTCTCTCCCTTTTCTGGGTTTTCATGACTCTGCTCTCTCTTGGCTCTCCTCCTATCTTTCTGACCATTTCTTCTCCTAGATCCTCATCAATAGTTTGCCCACTAACTGCAGTGTTCCCCAAGACTCTGTCCTAAGCATTGGTCTCTTTTCTCTCAGTATTCTTTTACTCTGTGATTTCATTACCTCTCGTGGATCACTGGATTATGGATTTAGAACTGGAAACGATCTTAGGGGCTATCAGGTCCAATTTCTTCATTTCACAGATAAAGAAACTGAGGTACAGAGAGGTTAAGTGACTTACTTAAGGTCATACAACCTGTCTGACACAACATGTCTGAGATGGGATTTGAACTCAGGCTTTTCTGACACCATACTCAGTATTCAAGCCATATAGATTTCTTTACCATTTCTATACTGATGATTCCCAGTTGTCTCTGTCTGTCTCTGTCCCTCTTTTACTCTCTCTCTTTGTCTCTCTTTTTCGCTGTCTATCTATCTATCTATCTAATTATGGTTCTAGTTTCTTTCTCAAACTCTAGTCCCACATTACCATTGACATCTCAAAGTTAACATGTCCAAGATAGAACTCATTATCTTTATGTCAAAACTCACCACTCTTTCAAACTTGCTTA